GAGAGAGAGAGAGAGAGAGAGAGAGAGAGAGAGAGAGAGAGAGAGAGAGATGAGATGAGATGAGATGAGATGAGATGAGATGAGATGAGATAGATGATAGATAGATAACCAATCACATTTCCTGGGACTCTGCTGCCTCCCTCAGGGGATTCAAGAGGGAATGCTCAGGAAAAGTTGATTTCTACTGCAATCACCTCTTGGATCCACCTCTACAAACTAGCAGGCCGATGTAAACATTTGAAGCAGAGGTGCCTCCTACACTTTGCTGAAGCTGCCCTCAAACAGAAGGGGTTGCTCCTACTGGACGTGGCCTCCAAAGTTAGCAGGGCTGATCCCCCGTTTTAATTCCTGAAAAGTCAACTGCTTACCATCGAACTCTGGAAAGTAATCCACAAGGTGAGAGTACATGATCTTGTCTTCCAAGAGATCTTTCTTATTAAGAAAGAGGATGACGGAGGAATTCTGGAACCAGGGATAGGTAATTATGGTCCGGAAAAGGGCTTTGCTCTCCTCCATGCGGTTCTATAAGGAAAAGCAGTTTTTTTTTAGATCCATAATAAATAAACAGGTAAACAAAGATTACATCATTTTGGACAAGCCTTGTACTGATCGTCCTTGACTTATAACCGCAATTGAGCCCAAAATTTCTGTTGCTAAGAAAAAGAGTTAAGTGAATTTCGCCCCATTTTACAACCTTTCTTGCCACACTTGTTAGGTGAATCACTGAAGTTGTTAAGATAGTAACCCAGCTGTGGCAAATCCGGCTTCTCCTTTGACTTCGCTTGTCAGAAGGTCGTAAAAGGTGATTCACGTGACCCCCGGGACATGCAACCGTCATATATGTGAGTCAGTTGCCAGGTTTCTGAATTTTGATCACATGACTGTGGGGATGCTGCAACTGTTATAAGTATGAAAAATGGTCATGTCCCTTTTTACAGTGCCGTTACTTCGAATAGTCACTAAATGAACTGTTGTAAGTCAAGGACCACCTGTACATCTGTCCCCTGTTGTCTCATAAAAGTTTTGCCACAACCATTTTCAACAATACCTTAATTCAGTGTCTCTCAACCTCAGAAACCTTTAAAATATGTGCATGTGGGCTGAGGAATTATGGGAGTTGAAGTCCACATATCTTACACACACACACACACTTTTTTTTTTNTATATATATATATATATATATGCATTTATATTATACATATATATAGGTTTTCTTTTTTTAAATAGGATGTTTAAATGTTATTCTTTTTTTTTAAATCAGGTTCTCTTATTATAATATACTAGTATAACCAAATATTTTTTTTTTCACCACACTGGTACTTGTAAAAGAGTCTCTGGTACTAAAGAAAAGAACGGGCATTGGCACAAAACCATGTAATGCTTTTTTCTTCTTCTTTAAAATTAAAAAAAAAAAGTATACAACGTACACACACGCACACACAGAGTACTGAATTACAGACTTGAAACCTCGGATGGTGAACTCGGCCTTCCTTTCCGATCCTACGGCCAGCACACCCTTCCCCCCCCCTCCCCCAAAGTAGCCATAAAATGTGTTTGGGAGGGAGGGAAACACACGATAAAAGGCAAAAAGCAGGTGGAGAATTCGATCCCAAGGGGAGACCGTTGAAGGGGGGGGGGGAGGCAGCTGCCGGTCGGGTGGGCCCACCGTCGCAAAGTCGTCCTCCCCCGGCCGAAGGGAATGGAATGGTGTGTTTTGGCAATCCTCTTTCCGCCTACAGTCCGACGAAGTGTGCGAGCAGGTTAGTGCGTCTTCAGTAGGATTCTACTTTTTTTTCCTTCCTTTTGTTTTTTTTTTCATATAAAGTGCACTGTGAACAGAACATGGTCAGACTGCTCTCTCCTGTCTTTAACTTTGGCTGCCTCCGCCGTGCGGGAGGCCCGGCTTCAAGAACCCCGGCGTATTTCTTTCGGGATCGTCTTGGAACCTCGACCAGTTCCCATCAGCCCAACAGAAGGGGAAGGGAGGAACGCTTCAATGGTCGAAGAAAGTTGGCACGCTCCTGAGCAGAAACCCCCGGGTGGGACATCCATCCCGATGGCTGGTCCACGTAGTGCGGCTTCGTGAGAAAAGAAGAGGGACACTACCCCCGCACACATCTCCACGCTGCCCCCCCCCCAACGGCTCGCAGGCTGTGTGGGGACGAAGGGTCCACTTGGCAGGCACGGCGGTCCGGGATGGAGGCCTGTTTCCTGGAAAGGCGATGCGAGAGAGAGAGAGAGAGATGGGCCAGGTGCTCCCAATCCGAGTTCCAGGTCCAAGGGCCGCGGTGAAAGCCTGCAGCAGAGGCAAGGGGCTCACGCCATCCAGGAAAACACTTCCGGCGAGGGGCTTCGAGAGTTAAAGTCATGGCACCTTTGCAAGAACAGAGTTCCCCTTGTAGAAAGTAAGTCTGGGTCTTTGGGCGAGAAGACAAATTCGACATGTAGCTATTCCTCGGCCTATCGAGGGGGAATTCATTCGCCCCACCCTCTTTCCCAAAACACAACCCTCCCCAAAAAACATTTAGATCAAAACAATTAACAAAAACTCAGGAATGTTGGAAAATAGCTCCATTTCTCCCCCCCCCCCCCCCCCATCAACCCAACAAGCCCTTTTGTGTAGTTACTCTGACGTAACTATAGATTACTTTCTCCCAATTTTAACAACTTCTCATTCACGGTGTAAGCGGGAGGGACTCCTCACGCCCCCTCCCCCAAAATGCAGCTCTCCCTGCGCCATGGCTTCTTTCTGTAGTGTTCCACAAAAAAGGGGCGGTCCCAGAAAGCCAAAGGCAACACCCTCTCCCGCCCCCTCCCACCCCGCTGGAATGCTGCAAATGTTCATGCTAAATTAGTGTTGTTGTGTCGAAGCAAAACACGTCCCCCCCCTCAAAACCCTTCATTAACATCTCATGCGAGGAAGTCCACTAGTGTTGCCTGTTGCAACATGACAAAAAAAGCGTTTTTAAAAAAAGCACATTGGACACTGCCATCCTCTTCCACCCACCCACCCCCACCCACGTTACGGGGATCGGCCCATTGTCCTGTTCGTGAAAAAGGCTGTTTCTTGCGGCATTTGTAAATGTGACGGTTGGCAGTTGCGAGACACATACTGTGTTACTGCTACCCAGGGTCTCCGGAGGAAGCGGAGAGAGACCGTTTCATTTCACTAGAATCCCTAGCTGGGTCCTGTGGCAATCTGCCTTCCAAAAAGACTGGCAAAAGTTTGGGGTTTGGCACTGACTTTGAGCAGGGCACACATTTGGCACTCGGTCTCCGGAAAGGGACCTCTCTCACCTGGTCCACTTCAAAGCTTACACCTGTAAACCACCTCTATTCCACAGGTCCCTTGTGCTGGGCTTCTTTCATGCACGCTCAATGGGCACCCCCAGAATGAGCTGGCTTCCGAGAGAACGGGTCAAGAGATGGGAGGATGGATGGCAGCAGCAGCTGCCAATCACACCAGCCTTGGCAACGTCATTCAAAGGCCCTCTCTGATTTGGCTGCAACCATGCCAAGAGCTAACAGACCTTCCCAATACTTTTTAGGACCAACAAGGCCAAAGGTTGCTTCAATTTGACTCAGAATGCAGACACCATCTTAACCCCAACCCAACCCACCCAAACACGGGGTCAGGATTTTCCCCCCGACCCGAAAGGGTTAATTTGCAAAACACACACACATACACACACACACACACACACACAAAAGATCCAAGTGAATGAGTCAAAACCTCAAATCTTCCTTCCGGCCCAAAATCTGGTGCAGATTTCGGATTTCCACCAAAGGGATTTTCTTACGTTGGGTGAGAAGCAAGTTTAACTTTCTTCTTTCTTTCTTTCTTTCTCTTTCTTTCTTTCTTTCTTTTTCCTTAAACGCTAAATTAGAAAACAAAAAAGATAACAAAACAAAACAAAACAAAAAACCCGCAATCAGGCACTTCCCTCAGGCTTGATAGCTATTGCTTGGTTGGTAGTCAAGAAACAAAAGTATAGCACATGTAGCAAACTAGGTGTAGAACAATAATTTAAAAAACAATAATAATCACAGTCAATAGAACTTCCGTAATTGGTGGAGGGAAGAAAACGAAAGCGAGAGTAAAAAGCAACAAAGGAAAGCGGGAACCAAAGGACGGCTTGTTTCGCGCTGTGGGCAAAATAAACTGGGTTTTCCTCTTTACGATGTCATCTAGGGTAAACCCATTTCGGGACATATCCTTACAGTCAAGATGTACGGGGAGAGGGAGGGAGGGAGGACTCACACCAGAGGCATTATATGGCACAAGCTGAAGGTCCGAGCTGCATCTTATACTCCCACAGCCGAATATAAAGCTCCTTAGTTTGGCTTGATGGTCTGGGACACGTTTATCGCCAGATCAGACAGGAAAAAAAAAAAAAAAGAATTTACTAATGCAACGTACAAAGTCTGAAAGGAAACCGCCTGGACTGCTGGCAACAAAGCAGGAAATTAACAAGGTGCCAGAGAGAGAAAAAGAGTGGAGCATGTCCCCCACAGTTTTTAAACTGTGAAATAAAAGCTATTAAAAAAAAAAAAAAAGGTGGGGGAAATCAGCTATTCTGTGGGGCAGACACAAAACCGAAGGTAATGGTGTGCTTAAAAAAAAAAGGAAAAAAGAAAAAGAAAAAAAAAACCATTGCCACTCCACAGATCAGACAATTTGCAATCATGACATCATTAAAAATCAAGATTGTTTTCCTGTTGGTTTAAATTCGTGGGATTCGTTTGTCTTACTTTTCTTCACGACAAAAGGTCTCCCAAGGAGATTAAAGGGAGGGGGGGCGGATTGGGTGGGTGGGAGAAGAGGATAGATTCATTCAAGGTCAGACTAGGTTATATTCCTTCAAGTTGAGTTGCAGGATGGTGTCCTTGACGGCAGCAAAGACAAACCGGATATTTTCCGTATCTGTGGCACAGGTGAAGTGAGAGTAGATAATCTTATCGCTGTCGGGGTTGAGATCCACAAACATTTTGAGGATAAATTCCCGGGCTGCTTGAGCGTCTCTCTGCGGGCCTGGAGAGAGAACGGAAGAGAACCAGGATTTATAATGAAGAGGAAAAGACTAACTGACTCAGGGGTCACCAACCTTTCAGACCTCAGGGACCACTAAATTCATAATTTTAAATCCCGTGGACCACTAATATGATCTGCCTAGTGACTGGGTGGGCGTGCCCAACTCATTGTCACTCACGCCGAGGGGCGCTTCGCCAGCCTCTACTCACTCCTCCCCTCCCAGCTACTCCTCGTCTGCCCGCCCGGGCTCCTTAGGACCCCAACAGGAAGCAGTTGCTGGAGCTAAGCAGTCCCCATGAGAAAGAGTTGGCAAAACATCTCAGTTCAAATTGGATCTGACTGAGAAGGAGCTCAGCAGAAGCACCTCACTGAGGACTAGGAGCACAGGGGTTCCAAGCAAAGGGAAGACCTGTGGGAGTGCAAGGCCAGGTACCGGCGCCTGGAGGCTCAGTGGGCTGAGATGGTCAGCCAGTTCCAGGCCATGATGCAGTCCCACTGGAACAAGGCCCTCCGGCTCTTTACCACCAGCCGTGCTTCCCTCCAGCCTTCACCCAAAGCCTCCCATCAGGAGGCTGAAGCAGACCCCAAGTCGGAATTTCTACCCCCCTTCGACCCACACAAAAAGACCCCGAAAGTGGGGGAGACTCTCTGCAGCAACACAAGTGTTCATTGCACGTATCCATCCT